ATGAGAAGCAAAATCAATATACAAGTGTATTATATATCTATAATATACTTGAAGTGCTCTACAGAGTTTCAAACGACTTCACTGGACTCCATTGGACTCCATTGGACTCCATTGGACTCCACTGTATTGGAGTCCGCTATTTCCCCCTTGCAATTTGCTGTTGGTATAACTGAGAAATATTAGAACAATTATGTTCTGAATGATATTTACAATATGATCTTTTATATTGTTGATATACTAAATGTCATACAAATTAGCAAGATGTTTAACATAGATCTTGATGCGATTTCAAATATATAAAGGAGTCGTTCGAGGAAAGTTTTACTTTGATTGGAACAACTGTAAAAATTTCATCATATCCGGATGGATTTTTAAATTAGACCTATGAAATGGTAATAATAACAAAAATTTGTTTTGAATATTTGTTTTTCATGTATAGAATAAAAAAATATTCTGTTTATTTTGAGTATTTAAATAGATACTATCAATCTCATAGTGATCTTATAAAAAACTCAGAATATATATATTAGGGGTGTCAATTTACATTTTATTTTATTTAAATTTAATTTCGTGAAAAGTTAATTTAATTTTAAATCAAATTCTATCAAGTTAAATTTAAAATAAATTTAAATTCTTCTGATGCAAAAATTTAAATTTAAATAAAATTTAAATTTTCAGAAGTTAAATTTAATTTAAAGTAGCTTTTTGAAAATTTATTTCTCGATTTAATAATTTTTTTTAAATTTAAATTTTAAATTTAATAAATTGTTTGGATGGATACACATCATTGCTACGAGTAAAATACGTGACTATAACCGTAGTAAATACAAAATGAGAGGAGAAAACCTAGTATTTTAGGTTAATATTTGTTCATAATAGTCAAAATTTCTCTACAGATTATGCAGGATCCGTCATCTTTGTTCTTCAAAATACTAGGATACTCATAAAAATGTATTTAATAGCACAATTCATAGAAGAATGACTAGTTTTAACTTTAGAAAACAGGAAACATACTCAAATTAGACTTTAAATAGTAGCAATCAAGTCAAAAACTATGTTTTTCTACTAGTTGCAAAATTTAACTAATTTGAATTTCAAACAATTTAATTTAAATTTAGTTAAATTTAAATGATATAAAATTTAAAATTTAATTAAATTTAAATTCCTTGAATTTAAATTCATTTTAAATTTAAATTTTTGAAAATTTACTTCTCGATTTAATAAATTTTTTCAAATTTAAATGTGACACCCCTAATATATATGATGTTTTCTATTTATTTATTTATTTATTTTTAATGCAAAATCAAATTTCTAAAACAATAGTGTATCTGTACGAATGTTAGTTATTTACGTAAGATACATATATATTGTTCGATGAGTATTGAAATCATTTATTGTTATCAATAAAGTTTTATTATTTTTTTCTTGGTAAATGTTTGTTCAGTCTTTAACATTCAATTCGTCTAAAAAGGGAAATATGATATGTATTTAAAATGTTCGAGTGCATGTAACAGCTACGTTACTCCGATGAGTTGATTCAATATCTTTTAGAGTTGCAATATCACTAATTATACCAGTTATTTCGCTGTACGTGAATTTAGTGTTCAAAGAAATAATACTGTTTAAATTATAACTGCTATTAGAGCAATCATTGTTTTCTATTGAATCAGAACTAATTTCAGCCAATATAACCATTAATAATGATTTTTCAATTCTTAAATTGTACTGTTCATTATTTGAAGTCAAAATTGTGATTTTTAAATAACTGTCAATTATGTTCACATCTTTCAATAATCGAGCATGACAATCAATACAAAGAATTACATTTGCTTCATCAATTATATTAATGCCACCACAACATTAAAATGTAAAATGATTGCCATTTTTTTCAATAGCCATGATTTTACCTTTTTGAGTATTGTACCGATTTATACTGCTATCAACTTCAACTATTACATCTGCTAGATCATCGATTTTTATAAATCTTATAAATGAAAACATGCTTTTTTCCTTAGTATTTTTAATATTTATGAATTACATACGATGTGTCGGTCGTTGTAACTAATGATATTTGATCATTATATATTCGTACCTTCAGTAATCTTATATGATATGAGTTACCTAATAGTATTTGATTAAAGTGGCTTTCCCACATAGCCATTTGTAACGCTCCAGTGTTATCACCAATGACAACATTTTTCTTCATTTTTTGAACGCGTTTAAATTGATTTTCTTCAAAAACAACTGGAATTTCATCACTGAGAGAACAAATTTTTGCTTGTACAGTACATAATCGATCGTTTATTTCGTTTTTTAAAACATGTATGTTTTTCACTCGATTGCAATCAGGTCGAAAATGTAGATCTTTATCAATGACCTTTGTAGACAGTGTACAAGTATATTGATTATTTTGCTGACGTAAGGAAGTTATTAAAGCTGCTCGACCATTTCGGACTGATTCTCTTAATTGATTATGCAATAAACAAAAAGGAGCTTTAGATAAATATTTGACGACTCGAACTGTTGATTGATCTTCAAGACTGACAATAAATGAATAATGGTAGTTATCATTTGTGCTATTTTTTGTAATTCCATTAATATGAACGATATATCCTTCTAGAGAAATTAACTTTGTAGATGTTAATGTGTTGTTGTCATCGGTTGTTGCGCGTTTCATAATATTCACAAATTTGATTTTCAAACATAAAAATATAAATTCAAAATGAAAAAGTTACCGCGTTTTGTTATGTTGGATATTTGAAGTATATATCGTTATTTTTAAATGAAAGAATATATGAAGTTAAATGATAGTCGTTAAAATTTTATTTCTGTCTAAATATCTTTGAAAGAATTGTAGAATGCTTTTTTTTCCACATTCGAATCATTCGAAATGGTAGTTCATCAAGAAAAGTTGCCATAAATACTATAGCTATGGCATACGATAAAGAAACCATAACACCGTCTATCATAGTTTTCTCATAAGAAAAAAAATATTAACGGTGAGATTATTTTGAGTTTATGTCGAATATTGAGCGTTTTTAATCTACGTCTGGAACAGATCATTTAATACTTCATGGCGCGAAAATATTATCATTAATTTGAATCTTTTTAAAGCATATTTTCTATTAGTCATTATATCATCTTATTATATTTTTGATTCTACTTTGTTAGTGGCTTGAACTTGAATATTCTTTAATTCAATTAAACTATAATAAATATTGAATTTAATATACTTGTTAACACACAAGATAGTACTAGCAAAAATAAATGCAAGATTACAGCGAAGTATCACTTCTGTTTCGAGACTTTTTGGATCAACAAGCAACAACAAGCATAATGACAATATGTGTTCAGATGTGTGCACAATATGAAAATGTTTTTCAACTTTCTAATGGCATTTTGATGTTGCGTAATTCTTCTATTAAATGGCCACCATTCATACAGGCTGGTTTTAATTCAAAAAGTATAAGAGAAGCAGAGATGTTTTTTGGTATACCTGAATATGAAGCTTTTTGTCGACTTGTTTCGTACAATATACCAATATATTCAACACATCAAGTGCTGATTGATATTTTAAAAAATAGTAACTTATTGATACCAAGACAGCTCCATGATCTAGAATTACAAATATTCAATATTGGCTCATTGTCAAGTCATACACCTAAATATGTTAAATCCTTTGATCAATTTATGAACAATTTTAATAAACTTTTTTTTCTATGGGTATGTGGATTGCGTAAAGCTTAGCTTTATATGACTTTAGTTTATTATCAGAGACGTTTGGGAAATTCTTACATAAATCTATCAATTAATAATTTCCTCATTAGGATTAAAAGAAAAAAAACGAATATATATAAGTTAGTTTAGTAAAAAAAGAAAGAAAAGAATAGAAATTTTTTAAAAATATTGAATGGAACTAAATGATTATTAGACTATAATGACTTTTATTATCAAATAGAACGCTTTGTTGTTTGTTTCACATTTGAAATAAACTTTAGTTGTCTGTTTATGTATTTTTCAATGTTATTTTAGCTGGTCTCATCTTATTGATTACTCGAAGTTTCATATTGCTGGCGGATGTTTTGTAACATGCCTTATTGAGGATGCTTTTGTATCACCTGATCAAAATATTGATTTGTTTTATAAAAGCAATTCATACAACGACTATTTGAAATCTGTTGTGGGTTACATTTCTTTAATTATTTTCATAATATTTATGTACATATATATTACTAGAATGATATTGAAGAAAAAATACGACAATATTTTTTTTTAAACGAATCAACAATTGTTTTAAAAAAGTAATTAATTTACGCTTGTTTCTTAATCAAACAGTTGAAAATCTTCTTCAACAAACACAATTTATCGATCTTCAATTCATTTTTATTAAATGCAATTATTCACCTGATGAATTGTTGACAAATCTCGATATTGATGTTGCACAGTTCTCATTTAATGGCGAAAGTTTAGTCGGTACAATGGCAGCCATACAAGCTATACGAACATTAACTTTTATCAACTATGCTCTTAATAATGATGATAAGGACTATGCACCTGTTGCTATTCGAATTGGCAAATATGTAAAGCGTGGCTTTACATTTTTAAAACCAATTCATTTCAATTTTCAACGATTCGAAGCATCACCGACCCATATCAGCAATCAATACATTAGATCTCATATACTTCTTTCGTAGAATTATCATGTGATCAATATGGAATGGAAATGAACGTGAATATCGAGATTTAGTGTTCAATAGAAATTATGATTGTTTTCATGTTCAGCAAAACTTTCGTTTAAAAATACAATTTCATAGTTAATAAAATAGTTGAAAATGAAATTTATAATTTATCAAAATAGAAAAAATAATTTATTCATAGCGTATGCTGTGTAATTTTCTTGTTATATAAACAAATAGAATGCATCAAGTTTCACATTAGTAAGCTGTATGGCATATGTTTCATAGATGACGAACACTAGAATATTTCAGTCTTTACTAGATTTAAAAGAATGACATCGACATTTTTTATTTCAATTTACAAAAATAAAATATGCATTATGAAGTCATTTTTTGTCGATATGCTTCTCGATGTTTTCGTTTTTGTTCTCGTACTTTACGCATATATTCTGATTTATTCGCATGTTGTTTTCTTTGTCGATATCGACGTACACGTTCTATGTTCAGCTTTTTAAGATGCTCTTTACGCATCAACATAACTTGATCAATCATATCCGTTAATAATGCACTTATGATTTCTTCAATTTTTTCTTCTTCATGAGTAGAATTATTATTCATATCATCCATTATGATTTAATATGATAAAAAGAAATAATATATGATTATTTTAAAGGCGCATAACTAAAGTAGACATCTGATTATTGCTATTTGTTTCAAATGTAATTTCAACAAATATTTTCGTTGATATTATAAGCTTGAGTCAAAATTTAAACAGCAAGAGAAATAAAAATTAATAACATCCTCATTGTTCTAAATGCTATTCACGAAGAAAAAACAAAAAAACAAAAACACATGAAGCATTATATAAACCATTCAGTATTATACTATATACACTATTCGATGAAAGAGAATGAATAGCACTTGATAATAATTATCGGTACTTTGTTTCGTGACTGAGTAATAGATATGAACATAATGTGTTTTGTATATTCAAGTCGAGCACGTTAGTGTTAGAATAAATATGAAACTTATCGTTATATTTTATTATAATTAATAAGTAAAAATGATAAAATATTTAATTGTGAATATATGGAATATTAAAAAGCAGTTTAATACAAACAAAAATAATTATTTTGATAAAAACTATTCAATTATTTATAGATTAAAAGCAAAATTAATCAAATTCTTTAGTAAAAGTAAAAAGCAGATAGTTGTAGAAGAACTTGTATTAGAATGGTAATATTCAATGTAATACAAATTAACACAGCAGATTATTGCTACTGTATGTGATAGTTCAATGTGGAAGTCTTTGTGTTGGCTTTATATTTAGTATTGTATGTGTTGATTTTCTATGATTTCTATTTATTGGTAAGCGCTATACTATATAACCATCATTCATTTATTTTTTATATCTTGATTCTTCTATCATTTTATATTTCCGTGGTTGATTTGTTTTCCTCACTATTTAAATGGCTTCATGTACAACATGTAATTGGTGTGCAAAAAATATTGATTCGATTGTTACGACATCTAATGAATTATTCTGTTGCTCAACATGTAAAGAGTATTATAATTTGGATATACATATTATGCATGTATTAGACATAGCTATTGTTAATGGTCGTGAGATGAAAATCGATAAAGCATGGAATCGATTATTCAATTTGTTATTTAAAAGTAGCTTATGTTTATATGCTCATCATCGAGATGACATTGGTATCGAACTCGGTTGGTTATATGAAATTTATATGCTTTCTACAAAGAATAATTTGAATTCTATTAGAACTTCGATCGTTATTGAACATTTAAATAATTTCCTCTATTTTTTACGTCATACAACGAAATGATTGACAATATTCATTAAAACTTATAACAACTATGGAATATATTATAATCCAAGACTCGACTTAGAAAGAATAGTTTATCATTTAAATGATACCAAATTTATAAAAATTTATTATTTCTTTTTAAATAAGAACAGAAATAAAAAAATATCTAAAATGATTGATGAATATATGCATTTCATTTCATGTCACTGCATTTGTATTAATTGTTTAAAAAATACTCAATGCTGTCACCACATTGTACATGTGCTTGTTAGTGTATGAGATTCAGACCGACTTTTTTTCCAAATGTAAAAATATGATTAGTCGCAAATAAATGACAATACCATGATTTAAAATGTCTTTAACAATGTTTATTTCGATTGAGCAAATTATTACTATCTTTGCTAATTCATATATTAGATTATTGAATATATAGGTTACATTGTATATGCATACTTTCAGTGACGTAAAAGAAAAATTCATGGCCTTTATAAGAGAGTTCAAGAGTATCAATATCAATTCTATCAAGCATATTTTTACATGATGAGCACATGTATAATAAATCAATTCTAATACAAGTCTTTTTCCGATTCGTTTTCAGTAGATTGTTATAATGAAGATTTCATTTCATGCGAAATCTGATAATAATACAATTCGATATATTGATTAATATGATATAATACTATTATTTTTTTTATACTATATATACAGATCGGTTCATATTCAATACTTCTGCATTTAATATATATATATATATATATATATATATATATAACCTTTTTACAGTTCTGATTATTAAATATATCATCATAACATATCGTTAAAAATATCAAAATATCATGTGGCATCAAATTGAGAGATCAAGTACGAAACTATGATGTTTCTTGTTCAAAAATGAAAACTAGATGAATATAATTCAGATAAACATTGATCAAACAATAAAAAATGAGATTCAAGTAGTCATACGTCTTTTCGATCGAATAAATACAAAATAAAATAAGACCAATATTTATACGAAATAATATTTAAACAGAAATAAAATAATAATTAGAATTTAGTATGAATTTTTATCGAAATTAAATTGGATTCCTATGTATATGGGCAAAAAAGGTACAGTCGAGTTTTCTCAAAACTCAACTAATTAGTATTCGAAAGTATGTCCTTAAAGAAAAAGAAAAAAAAGAAAAAGCGCTGTATTAAACATAAATTGTACATTTACCTTGATAAAGAATATTTTCTATCATTATGTATTATTAAAAAGTTGATATTAACGAAGTCTATTTTTTCAACAATGGTAAAAGCAACTATAAAAGAAAAAGACTCCGATTCACATCAACCTAGTACTTCGGGAACGATAATAATCACAACACCGCAAATAAAGAAACGCAATCGAAATTCAAAACCTTCACAAAGAAAGAAACAAAACAGGAATTCTAAGATATCACAAATTAACAAAACGAATAAAAAAACAAAGCCATCAGCAATAAAAGTCTGTCGTTCTAAACTTGAAAAACTGGATGACAACCATTCTCCACTTGGAAGCAAATCTGATTCATGGAATTTTCAATTACCTACTGAAGAAAATTTAGAGTGTTCGGAAATCCATGAGTTTTTGAACTTAAGGTTGATTTTTCAAAGTTGTTTTTTTTTCAATTTGATCAAAAAATGTTTTCAGATATTTTTCAACAATTCTTCAACAGTGGTTTTCATGCGCTTGCTGCTCGTCTTTATATTGTGAAAGCCAATTAAAAATAGCTTCTGGTAAACATGAATTGTATCATGATGTACTAAAAGGCGAACTTCTATGCAGGAAATGCTTTGCATTTGCACCATCGAACAATTATCCTCATTGTCCTTACGCACGATACAAGAATAAATTCGAAATTTCTGTAATACCGGAAGATTTAATATTGGGTTTTATAGAACAAAGAGCAATTACATTAAACCATATCTATATGAGTATTATTTTAATTCGTGGTCGCCAAGCTGCTTTAAAAGGACAAATAGTACATTTTCATGTTGATACAGATGTCATTGTTGGTAAATTATTACCATTTCCAAGATACTATGAATTCCTGGCTGTTGTACAGGAAAAACCACATAAAAATAACGAGATTCGTACTACTGTCACTTATTCTTTTAATCCAGCGCGAGTGTTGATAGCTTTAATCTAGTTGAAACAACATAATCATCTATACTCAGAAAAAATATTGATGAAAGCAGAAGAAATTCAAGAAATGTTTCAATGTCGTGAAGAAAACATTAAACCAATTCGAATTATTGATAGTTATGCTTATAACAATGCTACTACAACCACACCAATTATTAATCGACCAGAAGTTTTATACGGGCCTGAGTATTGAATTGCATAGCCTGTGTATGTTTAAATAAACCTTTTTCTAGGCGCATAATACCATGTGCTGAAAATCCAACATGGCATATAGAACCTTATTTAGAAGAGAAATCTCATCCGTGGTTATACCCACAAGGAAAAGGAGGTGAAGCTGATCCAGAGCGACCTTTGGATATAAATCTACGAGATTATTATAAGCAACGCTTAAAATCCTCTGACAATCGCTGGCAGAAGGATCCGGCATGGAGTTTTAGAGCACTTAATTTATTACAAAGGGAAGATTTGCGTAAATCAGTGAATTATCATGCACGAAAAAAATATCAAGATGGGAAAATGTGTTATTTAATTTATCAAGGTAATTCCAACATTAATATTCAAACAAGAAAACCAGAAAATAACTGGAGCTACTGATATTTTTATATAGAGATTTAATTTTTTTGATTTAATTTTAATGGAATAGATGTAGGTACGGCTATTCGTGGTTCTTCAGTATTTTGGGATAAATCAAGACGTCATCTTAGATCTATGTATGCTACATTAGGTAAACCTTTTATTTTTCTTTCAATAAATCTCCAAGATGACGTGGAATTTTTAACCAACATTAATACTGATAAATTTGGTTCAATTAATTGTCCTAATTGGGAAGCAACCGATTCTTTAAACGATGATGAATATCTCATGTTAGTTAATGAAAATGCAGCACTTGTAACAAGAATGTGTAAACGTCGTATAGCTGCTTTGAAGAATATATTAAAGACAAGCATCATCCATTCCTAATTGATTATGTTGTTTTTAATTATTTTTTAAAAATTGAATTTCAACGCGATGGATTACCTCATTTACATGCATTATTATGGGTTGAAAATCCTTCTTCTATTGATACAGCTGAAGGACGTCAAGCAATAATCGACTTTGTTGATAAATTTCTTACTACTGAATTACCTGCTCCAGATACCAATCCAGATCTTTGTAAGTTAGTTCGAAAGCATCAATGGCATACACATACATTTACCTGTAGTAAAAGTAATACATATAATGATTAGATTTTTGTTTTTGTTGATAAAATAATTTATTATGTTAGATAAACCAATTGTTCGAATTCGTAGAGGAAAAAAACAATTAATACCTGAAGTAAAAGACCAAGACGGAGATAATTTACATGATACAAATCCTGTTAACCGAAATAATGAAGATGAAATATATGAAAAAGTAGATGCAGAGAATGATTTTGATTTGATTCAAACAAATATTGAAAGACGAGAATTTTTTGAACGAGCTCGATGTCGATTTGGCAAGCCGGATCTATTAGCTGAGAAGACACATTTTCGTACTTACAATCAGGCTAGAATATTGACACGTGGTGATCGTGATATTATCATGAAAAGAACAACACAAGAAGTAATTATTGTTTCGAGGCATAGATACTAAAATACCATTATATTAATGAATTAATAGTCACGCCGAATTGTACCATATAATATGAATTTACTGAAAACATTTAGATGTAATCATGATATTCAAATCATAACTGATCCTTGGGCAGCAGCTGAGTATCTGTTTTCTTATGTTAGCAAAGAGGCACATATGGAAAAAGATCTCGTCCATAAACTAGCTGGATGTACATGTTCAAGTGTTGAAGAAGCAAAAAAAGTTTTATTAAAAGCAGGAAATGCCGTTTTATCACACAGACAGGTTGGAAAAATCGAAGCTGCTTGGTTAATCTTAGGTATTTTTATTTTTAAAATTTATCTTAACATTTTTATTGAACACTAAAGGGATTCCATTGTATCGATGCTCAATGTCTACTATTCACTTATACATATCTTTGCCGTGCAATGAAGATCGTATATTAAAAAACGTAAATGTAAATGTCGATTCTATTAGTGAAGATGATTTTTTTACTACAATCATTCATCGATATTCACAACGACCTTTAACACCTGAAGTTATAAATGATTTGACTTTGTTTGAGTTTGCTGTTTGGTTTACAATCGATACTATTAACTTTTCACAACAGCACTTAGAAAACGATACTTTATCAGTTAATCCATTATGGCGAACCAAATATGATCAAGCACCGCTATTGAAAACATCAAGAATACTTCCACGTATTATACTGACGTCTGGAAAAAAATGCGTCAACAAGAAAAGCCAAAATGTGTCACGTTCACTTGTCTTCATGATGACACAGCACAATCTATCTATACTATTTTATGTTTAAATATTCCCTTTCGAGATCCCATAGTTGAATTTTTAGGTGGTAAACAAGGTGAAAATTACTGTTTTTCACTTCAAATTTAGACTCACTACTTTTGTTTTAGAACCAGAGATAAATGAACTGCATCAAATACTGTTAAAACATCAAATACAGATTTATGATCGTATTTTAACATTACCCGAAACGTATCGCATTCAACTAAAAAATCTCTTAAACCATTTAATAAATATTGATAAAGAAAAGTATAAAATTAATCCTCGTGAATCTTATATATTTACAAATCCAATAAATGAAGAAGACGATACAATATCTAAAAGGTCAGAATCTATTAATGTTGAAGGATCAGTAATTCATAATGAAGATAAATTTATTACAAATGTCAACAATAACACATGTTTAACGTCTCAAGTATCAATAGACTTACGAAATACTGCAAATCCTCAGCAGAAATATCTTATTGATTTTATTCAAATCTATCTTAATCACTTACTAAGTAACTCTAGACGTCCAACACATGTAACAAAACCTAGACCATTTCATATAGTTGTAAATGGTTTGGCAGGATCTGGAAAATCGTATGTTATTTCTATAATTGAAAATATGCTAAAGGAATATTGTATTGCTGAATCCGCTATAATTTCACGCCTTCGAAAAAAATTTGGTTTACTTAAAATGGCTCATACAGGAAAAGCTGCATTAAATATTTGTGGATCTACTATACATACCGCTCTTGAAATCGTACAAAAAATATATATGTGACATTTATATTAGAGATTATTGTTTTTTTTATATTTAGTGTCCCGATGGAAGTTCAGCACCTAACAAACTGAACTCTTTTAAAGTTCATACGTTAAGAAATAGATTCAATGGATTATTATTAATTATCATCGACGAGATATCACTTGTTTCACATGCATTGTTTCAAAAAATTAATAAGCGTCTTAATGAAATATTCCGTACATCAGACAAATGTGATGTATATTTTGGTGGTATACCAATGATCGTATTTGGAGATATGGCTCAAATTGAACCAGTTGCAGCTAAACAAGTATTTTATCGACCATTAGGAGAATTTTTTTCACTGTGGCATGATTTATTTCGACCTATAAACTTTGATATCAATATGAGACAAGGGGATGATCGTGTATTTTTTAATTGTTTGTGTCGAATGAGAATAGCTACAAAACACTTGACGTTAATAATACAACTAAACAAAAAAGAATGTGATTTAGGTTGCTTAGATGATGAGACTCAATCTTTGCTTTAATCCAGAAGTATAAGTCAACAAGATAATCCTCAAGAATACAAAGATCACTTAAAAGAGTTAAATTCAGCAACTTTTGAAGATGCTATTCACGCTTATGGACTCCGAAAATCGACGAATTTAAGAAACATAGAAAAATTGAAACAGCATGCCTCTAATACAAAAAACCCTATATATATGATTAATGCTGTCGATGTAAGACTTTTTCTAACATATTATATCAATGTAAAATAACGATATATTCATCATATAGAAAGTATCTATGATTAATACACCATTTTATAAATCTAGTAAAGTAAGTCATAAAGCATGTAAAATTAACCTAAAACCGTCGAGTGATGAAAATAAATGTGGTTCACTATACCAACGTTTACCTATTTGTATTGGTGCACGTGTTATTATAAGGCGAAATATTGATCAAGATAACTATGTTGTTAATGGAACCGACGCTGTCGTGAAAGAGATCGTTTGGGAAGATTCTACAGACTTCCTTTTACCACCAACAACAAAAGACGATATATTTTCTGCTTTGTCAAATGGTATCAATACAAAAGTACCAAAATACGTAGAACTAAGTAATTTAGAATAAAATTGAAAAAAGAATATCTTAATTATAAATTCATATTTAGCACTATCAACTGGACAAACATATAAATTAGAGCCACAAGAAACGCGTTTCAATGATATGAACACCATAAGCATGTCTCGTTTACAACTACCACTTGCTCTCGGTTACACTATAACAATACATCGAACTCAATGTATGACATATCCGAAGTTAGTTATCGATCTTGGTGATAGATATTGGAAACCTGGCATGTTTTACACTGTTCTTAGTAGAACACGTCAAATAACAGATATTATAATATTAGCATATGATCCAAAATCTTTTAAGGCATATAGTTTGGTCTAAACTAGTTTAACTTATATATATATATATATTTAGATCTCAAATGAAGGTTTAAAAGAAATTGAGCGTTTAAAGCGGATTGAAGAAGAACAACCTATTCAAATCGATGATTACTTATGCGAAAATGTAAGCGTATTTATTTTTGTTTTTTAGTGTTGAAAGCAATATTTTATGCTGTAAAATTCAGAATGACATTACCACTTCAAAAACTATTTATGCATCCAATTTGACTGATGTAAAAGAATCGAATAGAGAACTAGAAGGAAAATTAGAATATCCTACTAAACGTTTTAAAACTGCAAATAATATGAATGTTGATAATGAGTACAATCATGTTGATGATATCATTACTCCTGAAGATGCAATTATTTGCGAAAGACAACAAGATCTTTTTTGTGGTCGTCATGCTCTTAGAGCTCTCTTACAAGATACAGAAATTTTTGATGATATATATTTAACTGGCTTAGCAGAAGAATTAGCAAAACAAGAACTGCAAGTTCGTGATCGTTTATCAACATTTGAAAATTTTTATTCAACTAATAGTGAAGGCTATTATCATATCCAAGTAATTCAAAACGCACTTGAGCACCAATTTAACATTGAACTTGTACAAATAAATACTCTAAGTAAAGACTCCTGTTCACATCGTAATATAATTATAAGTCATATTCATGATGTACAAGCTTTGTTTATACACCAGAATGATCATTATTTCTGTCTTCGACGATTTAATGGGAGCCTTGATTATTATTTTATTATTGATTCTCTAAGACCTAAGAAGCATCAAACTATACACCGAAATCGTATTCATGATTATATCAAGTATCTCGATGAGCATGATAGTTCAATATATGTACCTGTGTGTTCAAATATCTTTAAAATGGAAAATATTCCACCCGATTTATTATTTTCAATGATTCATCCATTATCAACATGTCCAGCCGACGAACTTGCTTTAATACTCAATCATACTAGAAATTTATATTTGATTAAGATTACAGCAACTGATTGACAATTGTTCATAATGCAGACATTGGATACTTAATACATTCATCATTTTCTCGAAAAGTATGTGAATCACACAAAACAATTTTTTATCTATATTCATATTTCAAATGAAACTTCCTTTTAACTCCCGCTCTACTTTTATTTTATTAATGTTCGCTTATTAATATTGTTTGATTTAATTTTTGTCATCATTTGTTTTTCTATCTTTTACTCTAATATTATTTAACTGTTGAATCAACGGATAACTAAGCTTTTCATACAACATACATATCAAATATGAAATGCTTATTGATTAACTATTATTCATTTCAATCACCTTACAAAGATTCGTATTAATCTTTCTTGTCAGAAAAACTCGATCAATTCAGTCTTGTAATCATCATCATATTCAGATTATGGCAAACCATTGCATTTTTACCCATCATAATTAACCTACTAAACTCAAATTTTTATTTTTCACAAAGATCAAAATCTGGACGACTCAGAATGTTCACAAAACTATACTGTCGATTTACATTTTGACAAAGACTTCGTCTTTTGTTGTTGCTAGCTACTAGAGTCTGTAACGGTGAGTGTCTGTAATGCTGAATGTCTGTAATGGGGATGTCTGTAAGGGGAGGGGAGGGGCTGAAAAAACTTCAGCTTAAAACTTACACTCGCTTTTTCTTCGAAAAATATATGTGAGTTCCACAAAAAAACGTTTGCATTAGCGACTTAATTACTGAATATTAAGTGTTAACGCAATACTTAATATTCAGTAATTAAGTCGCTAATGTAAGCGTTGTTTTCTCAATATTAAGAGTTAAGTTAAACCACTTAATTAACCCTCTTAATTAACTCAAATTAAAATCAACGGTCCACCCCTACCCTGTTCTCAATATTTATTGCACCCAATCGATGTAATTTTTTGCGTAGATTCCGAATATGCAGTCTACGTTGCAATTATGTTGTGTTTTGGTCGAGAGAATCGCGAATTACCATCTCAATTTCAGTGTCTTCGGTGCTGAAAAGCAGTAGACAAGCTTTTTTGGTCGTGATGTAACCCTCATTTGTGAGCTTTTCGAATGCTCTGTCAATGGTAAAAAAATGGCTCCGGGCCTCAATAAAATGAGGTAACAACAGCTACTACACCTGACAGAAAATAAGCACAGCTAAATAGCATTGTTAAAATTTTGCAAGAAATCCTCACCTTTTACTAGAACTTCTATATATAGTTTTATTCGGGATAAAATTTTGTATCGAATGGTATATAAAGCATGCTGTTTTTTGCTGAAAAAGTACCGACTCGAAATTCAACTACCGTACCTAAAAGATGCTCGGGCGAGCAGAGCCACAACTGCCCTTATGCACAACGGATCAAGCTGAAACTTGTCGAAATGATATAGAACAACGCGCTCCGCAGTTTGAAAAACTTTCAGACTGAACCGATGTCTCTTTCGAATTGGGCCGAAGTTATCCCAAGACGTCCCTCATCCTTTTGGTAGTACTCTAGTGAAAAGATGGTTAGCTTTCTGCTATTCAAGTTAGTCGTCGAAAAGATATTCACTGCTTGAAAGCACTGAAGTGTCACCTTCTTATTGACCACAGAAGCTAATTTCCAGTACTAGTTTACTCATTCTCAACAGAGACGATGATTCGTTCAACAAATGAATGGAAGACAGATTTGAGTGTAGAAATAAATGCCATTGCTCGAAAGGATAATTGTGAACGTTATACAGCTTGTCCAGCTGAAGTTAATCTTGCTTGGCCAAAATTGAGTAGAAGATTTCTTGAACATAACACGATCGTACTTATTCTTCTAAATTTTTTTAAATATTTTTTCGTATATTCTATACTGATACACATCATTTATTTTGAATAACCATGAGAACAAATAGTTGTCGCTAGACAAAATCAAGCATTTGTTTTTTTTGTGGAAAAAGAGAGGAAAATGAGTCCTTCAATCTTTTATCGTATTTTGAACATTACTGTATCATTGTAAAAAGGTAGAAACAAGAGTAGTATCGTTGAAATTCGAGCTACAATTTGACATCAATGAAACGCCTGGTATTGTTGGATGTGGGTGTCGTTAATAAGAATAGCCACACACAAGGGGGGAAAAGTGCGACTTCCGTACTTCAGTACTCCTTTTGTACTCCCCTGTACTTCTCTTGTACTTCCCTCGTACTTCGCTCATACTTCGCTCATACTTCCATGTACTTCCATCCAATAGAAAAGTAGATGCAACAGCTTCACGAAATGCTCAGAATAGCTGCTGGAATCCGTTTGACCGTAGATTTTCACTTCGTCTTTTGTTGTTGCTAGCTACTAGAGTCTGTAACGGTGAGTGTCTGTAATGCTGAATGTCTGTAATGGGGATGTCTGTAAGGGGAGGGGAGGGGAGGGGCTGAAAAAACTTCAGCTTAAAACTTACACTCACTTTTTCTTCGAAAAATATATGTGAGTTCCACAGAAAATGATTTGTGAAAGTGCAACGTGACACATACCCTTTTTCTTTTGAACGTTCCTATGCCTATTTGTCCAACTCCCAGCCACTGTCGCTTTCGCCTGTAGTTAACATACAGCGCCCACTCTTCATCGCAAGTAATAACGTTGTTAGGCCATTGGTAGTTACGATGAGATATCATTAATTCCATGCAAGTGTCAACTCTGTGCTGGAGCTAATGCGATGACAATTGATATTGTATCCAAACTCCGTATTTCCACGTTTTTCCCAACTCGCCCAGATGTGTGTCCACTATAGTATGAGAACACCCAAGCCCCTCTGCTAAACAACATACAGTCAATCTAGAATATTTTTGATAAGCTGCTTTAAAGCATCCATATCCACCTCTATTGGTCTTTCAGAACGAGGTAAATCATCCAATCCGAAGTTACCGTTTTTTAACTGATTGAACCAATGTTGCGCTGTACGAATGGAGAGTGCATCTCTGCCCATCGTACTGTACCTGTGGTCTGCTGCTTCCGTTGCTTTGTGACCCAAGCGGAATTCATGAAGAAGAAGCACTCAGAACTCTTTACGATATATATATATATATTTGTTAGCATTGACTTTAAAAAGCAACTAGTTGACTTTAAAATATTTCTGAATAGTTGAAAAGAAAACAAAGAAATATTTCGATTTGTTTTAAAGTCAACTGAATTTTAGAGTCAACTCCGACACATTCATCTCTAATTCGAAATCAACGTCCATATCCATTGGGTTTTATTTTGTTGTTCGAAAGATATTCGTACCACTTTTATATATTCTTAGTACGGAAACTTCTAGAACTTTCTTGACTGTTCTAAGGAATTGTCGAAAAAAACATGCAAAACTTTTCTTGTCAATCCAATATATATATATATATATATGATTAGCGCATTAAAACCTGTCAGGATTTATATGATCTAACATGGGTAAAAGGGGTCTACAGTGGACTTCAGGGATGTACCAGGTCTAAATTGATCTAGTTGAAGCTGCTTCAAATATTTCGAACAAAAACGTAAATAACTTAAGAGCAATGTATATTCTTCATCTCTTTTCATTTCATCTTTTTATATTCGACTAGACCTGTTCAGATACACATCATACTCACTTGCCATGAATTGAGCTAGGTAATTTATAACTTGTTGTGATAACCTCTTGAGCTATGCAAAACAGAGGAGTAATAAAAGATATGTTCGGATTCGAACGAGCCCTGGAATCCATGGTAGAATCCTTAGACCCATGATATATCCCCTTGATCCTTATTGATCCCTATAATCCATGGTAGATGCGCAAGACCCCACAAAATCATAGTAGACCCTTTAGATCCATGGCAGACACTTACATCTTGATAGACTCCTCAGACCTTGGTATACCCTTACATCCTGATAGACTCCTCAGACCTTGGTATACCCTTACATCCTGATAGACTCCTCAGACCTTGGTATACCCTTAAAATCGACGGTGGACCCTGATAGGCCCCCTACACTCTGATAGTCCCCCTACACTCTGATAGAACCCATATACTCTGATAGAACCCCTACACCATGATTCACCCCTACAATTCATTGTAGACCTATTGAAACTATTGATATAAACTTATAAACCGAATTATTCTATAATTCATTTGTGTCATCTAGTGACCTTCGACATCGGTTGAGTTGAAGTTGACAGAAAGTTTATTGATGGGAAATAAAATCGCCAAATACAATGAAAACGTTTTACTGATTCTTGTTAATGAAACGATAGGAATGAATGTTGAAAAAAATTTGTTGTCACACTAACTGTCAGGTGATATGTGAGTTTTATGACATATAACTATCTCAAATTAAGGTAGATCGATTCAATTTGTTTTATCATTCTATCTACTAATTATGACTGATTATTTCTGTCAATATCGAGGTCAGAAAATTTATCGTTCGTGCAGGAGAGAAAAAATAGTGTTAATATATCATAAGGGATTTCTGAAAAAATCTCAGAGGAAAATTTTCAGAAAACTTTCATATGAGATTTTTATGTGAATAGCTACTTCTCAGTTATGGTTCAAATGAATCGGTTTAAGTTTAGTCACTTTTGTTGAAAAAAATAGAAATACTTTACGTAAAAAAAAATAGTCGTTTGGACACCAAAAACCTACAGATTTTGTTCTCTAATGAGATTATATGATGATTATAGCACACAAGGTACACTATTAGGCTTGTGCTGTTTAAAATTACCATATTGGGTATCACACTAATAGCAGTCGC